CATCGCGGTCTTTTTCGATATAGCCAAAGCTTTCGATAGAGTCTGGCACACAGGCCTTATCTACAAGCTCTATAAAATAGGTCTCCCCCGATCGTCTAGTTCGTCTCGTGGCCTCCTATTTAAAACATCGTACCTTTCGTTTCAGACACGAAGGCACGCTCTCTTCACAGCGAACTATCAAGGCTGGTGTCCCTCAGGGCTCAGTACTTGCTCCTCTGCTGTACATCATATTCACCAACGACATTCCCATCCCGTCGAAAGGTGTTCAACTCTCCCTCTTTGCAGACGACACTGCCATCTACTGCAAAGGTGTCTCACTACCCTTCATACGGAACAAGATCCAAAAGTCAGTTGATGACCTAGGAGCTTGGTTCAAAAAATGGCGCATCGATGTGAACCCGGAGAAGAGCTCCGCCGTTCACTTCGATTATAAACGACGCCGTCTCAAAAACACTCCACCAATACGTATGCTAGGGACCCCTGTCCCCTGGCATACGTCCGCCAAATATTTAGGTGTCACTCTAGACACAGGGCTCACTTTCAAGCCCCACGTCAAAAGAGTAACCCGTCACGCACGTTTTTATCTGAGTAGGCTCAACAGTATGTTGGGCCGACACAGTAAAATGTCCCTTCGAAACAAGCGTACACTCTATAAGGTATGTATACGACCAGTCATGTCCTACGCGGGCCCCGTCTTTGCCCACGCAAACCCTAACATTTTAAATGAACTCCAAATAGTTCAGAACCTATTCTGTCGTCGAGCTGCGAACGCACCGTGGTACGTCCGCAATGCCGACCTTCATCGGGACTTAGAGCTCCCAACAATTCAGCAATTTCTTAAAAAACTCTCTGAGAACTTCTTCAAAGCCTCAGAGTCGCACCCAAACCACTTAATTCGTGAGGCAGCTTCTTATGCAGCCCCACCCCCCTCTCGCTATCGTGTCCGCAGGCCGAGAAACTCTCTCTCGGACCCGCCTAATAAACTCTCAAACGACCTGAACTGTCTCCTGGCAGCTCAGGCCAACTCTAATTAAATAAAATTATTGTAATATCTGACATTAATTTGCCTTCGTAGGCACTCCCTCAGCGGCACTTAGCCGCCTGCGCCCTCTTTTCCCAAAAGAGGGTCGCTCATGATAAGGCACAATAGAGCTTAATCAGCCGGTTGCCTGTCCCTAAAGGCGGTTTTTAGGGGGTATCACTTAGGGTCCCCGGTAGGACAGTGAGTCCCCCATAACCACGATAGACCGGCTATCGTGGTATGCGTAATGCATTTTCCGCCTCCCTACGTACAGGGTAGCCCTTTAATTGCTTCGGGCGCAAAAAAAAAAAAAAAACCGATGGGGAAGAAAGGTTCTCGAGTGGCAGCCTCGTACCGGTAGGCGTAGTGTAGAGCGACCCCCCACTAGATGGAGTGACGACCTGGTAAGACATGCAGGAAGTCGATGGATGCAGGTGGCTCAGGACCGTGCTTTGTGGCGTTACTTGGGGGAGGCCTATGTTCAGCAGTGGATTTGTGAAGGCCTGTAATGATGATAATGATGAATTACATTTTAATGATATTTTTATCTGAATTATTTAAAAGGTATCTATGTCAAATATAAAAAAAAAACATACTAAATGTATGTTTAACAAAACTTATTAATATAACATTTAAATTAAAAATATATTCATTTCAATTAGAATAAGAGTCATTCATAAATGCTGGACACGCGAGAATTAAAAATGAACGAATTTATTCCACTTTGACTTTGATGTGGAAACCTAAAAATAAAATAAAAGAATAATGAGCAGATTTAAATATAAAAAATTTAGCCTAATTATGATAACTCATATATTTTTCTACAAAAAAATGTGTATAATAATATATTCGTCCTATACTTAAGTACCCACAGAAATGTCGCATCTGAACAAATTAATTTCATAATCTATATTACATGACACAAGATGACGTCTTAGGAATAATTTGTTTTATTAATAATCTATAATACTTTTTATTGATTAAGTATCTTATTAACTGATGAAAAGTAATTCCTTGGTTTTTACTGACATTTCTTGAATTATTTGTGGAATATCTAAGTACACACGACGGCATATTGTTATCAAGAGATTTTTTTAAATCAACAAAACACGTGACAACTCTACAAGCGCCTAGCGATTGACTGATTAAAGTGCGGTGTATGCACCGCAGTTGAGTGGAACAGAGTAGCTGAATGCAGTGTCGCCTCTAGTATGTAGTACATAATAGATCAATGTTTTATTCCATGTGTAATATAGCGGTACACATACATACATTAATGATATTTTGAAGTCCACTCGAACGTAAAAATCTTCTGTCTGTATCAATATTAACCTTCGGCATACAAGGTGAAAAAAAAAGCTTACCCTTACAACGTGAGGTTAAAATAACCCTTAGTAAATATACTATTTATTAAGGGTATTATTTAAATACAACGGCTTAGATAGGGTTTTTGGCTTAATTACTTATAAAGTAATAATTAAAACGCAAAATAATTAAGAAAATAAACTTTAATTATAAAAAAGAACACAAAATACAAAAGTTCTCCTAAAATTCAACGAATTTTCCTTATATCTAAAAAAACACGTCGGTCTTTTATATTATAGTTCGGCCGTTCAGAGAATGCGTTCCTGACACCTATCTTTAGTCACGACTAGTGATGGGCACAACATAACACTGAGTTCGTTACCGTTCCTCCAAAATGAACCACCGCGTTATTTTTAAGATTATTTTCGTTTTAAATTGGCGGAATCATTTAAAATTTATATTTTAGTAATTTAAGTGGAAACCAAAAAAAGGAAGTATTAATATAATAAAATTGTTTTATTTATTCTTTGTTACAAAGTTACTATCTGTATTTCTGTGCAATAAAGTACATTGAATTGAATGTGCGTACAGAATATTAATCAGACTCCGATTCGCTTGAGGAGGTGGTGTCTTCATCATCATCTTCGCCTACATGTATAAATATATTATTATCAATAACAGAATCAATCCTGATATCTCGGTCAAAATGTTCCACAATCAGGTTTTTAGTCTTCTCAACAACCTTTGCCCAGTCATCTCTTGTGACTTCCCCGCAGGCTTATTTTAATAGGGTCATCATCTTTTTCGTGCTGAATGGCGGGGAAGTATTGTGGCGGGCGGCGTAACCTTTTATTTGAACCCAGATTAGCTCAATCGCGTTATATTGGCAATGATACGGTGGAATTCTTAGAACGCGATGACCGTACTACAGAGCCAGTTCATCGATTTCGTATCGCACATTTGCCGCTTTATTTTCTTTAACTAATTTAATTAGCTCTGGTTTTAGCATCTGCATATTTGCGTCAATGACTTTTGCTTGTAACCAAGCCACCATTTCTTCTTTTTTATTAGCTTGGGTAGGTGGTTTCTGTATTTGAACCGAGTGATAAGAGGCATTATCCATGAATATTACAGAAGGCTCTGGTAGGCTGGGCAAAAGCATGTTATGGAACCACTCTTTAAATGTAGTGGCATTCATTTCCTAGTGGTAGTCATTTGTGGTTTTTGATTGAAATGCCAGTAACGCGTTCTCCACAAAGCCGTATTTTGCAGAACCTGCGTGGCATATTATCAGACGGGCCCCCCTTACCCATTGGTACTTTCGACGTCGACGCTTGTGTATCATCCGTCCAAGAACGGGAAACCGGGTGATTGGCGTTTAGCCATGTCTCGTCAATGAACACGACATTATCCCAGTTATCAATATTTTTTGCTTCTCTCAAAAAACTTATCCGTTTTAAAATTATGTCGTATCGTTCTAATAAAATTTTTCTTTTGTCTGTTTTTTATACGAAAAACCAATATCTTTTAAGATTTTGGTTAAAGCAGTTTTACCCCCGCTAAACAGTCCAGCTTCTCTTAACGATGCCAAAAGATTCTTCCTGTTGAGATACTCATTTATGGAATAGTAACCATATATATGATTTCTGATTGCATCGGCGTCAAAGGTGTCAATATCTGTCACGGGTTTAGTTCTACGTTTCTTCTTCGGAGTACGTAAAATATTATCTTCCGTGCCAGTAGAGCCGAACTTTTCTTTATTAATATTTGTTATCTTTCGTTTGCTAACTCCAAGCGCCTGAGAGACGCGTTTTTGTACTTGTTCGACAGGTAACAGGGGTCCGCCGTTTTGCCGCTCCCACTCAAAGTAATCTTGCAGCTTGATGATTAACTCACGGGCTCCACTTTTCAATGTTTGTCCACGTTTAGGCATTATTATGCACCAAAAGTAAAAAGAACGCAATACAAAACACAATCGAAGTCCTATTTAGCGCCGATGTCAGTTTGAAAAGCAGAAACAGTCCATTAAACGAAAGCCGGGTAATCAAATAGAAACAGATCGAAAACACTTGAAGAACGTGATCTATGCGCACGAAACGACAACAGACGACTGTTTTAGCGTCACAAAATGGCGGCCCATAACGCCATTTGGGGTTACCATTTTCAACCTAAATATAAAAATGCTATTTTCGTTCGCGCGTTCGTTTTGGTCGTAGTTTTATTTTTATATTTAATAAAAGTTATCTTATAGTTCATTATTTTCAAATTCTTAATAAGAAAAACAAAATGTATTATTTTATAAAGTATAACTGTATAAGAACAGATTACGATACTGTTATTGCCTATTATTGTTATCACAGCACTACAAATATAAAGCGCTGACATAACCTTGTAATAGCGCAGTATAGATTTAGAAAAATATTGTTTACCAAGGTATTTGACACTCAGTTTGGCACAAAATTATAACATTCATTGATTGATGACATAATAATGTTGTTTTAATGCTCATCAATTGTTAAAACGGTAAACAACCAGCAAAAATATTTTTGTCGTAACTGCAACGCCATTACAAAGTTACGTCGTCAGTTCAATCGCGACGTGTCAGGAACGCATTCTCTGAACGGCCGAACTATATGAGGTGCTTTTAGTCTAAGCCAATATTATAAAACTAGAAATGTGTAACAGTATAAAAAATATAGAAGTAACTAAGTTTCTCTATTCTAGCGAGATCATTCGTTATCTAAATCAGTACAATTTTGGCACATCAGGCTTGCGTGTTCCTTACATATTGCAACATTGCATTTGAAACAACCGTTCAAGGTCTTCCTATCTTTATTTCTTGGACAAAAAGAACACCTTTGCGACTTCCTTGGTTGCTTTTGTGGTGGACCTGGAACCTCTTCATCCAAAATTTGGTGCACACGTTTTCTAATATCTCGAGGAATATGAGGATTGTCTTTTCTTTTTCTTAGATGATCTTCCAGCAATGAAAGTCCCAATTGTTTGATAAAGTTCCACCCTATATTTCTTTTCTTTCTCTCAATCTTGTTGTTGAACATATGTACTATAAAAGAATTTATATTTGCATGATTCAGCAAGAAGAAAAACAGCGTAAGTGGCCAGCGTTTACTGTTGCGGGAAATATCGTATGTTCTTGAAAGCTTGTCAACTACATCGACTCCACTTTTTGTCGAGTTGTAAAACGTTATAATAGAAAATAGAATAGAAATAGAAAAACATCTCATTTCCGTGGGAAAATAGAATATGTTGCAAAAGTTTGTCCTTCTTTCACGTCGCAACAGAGCGTCCGCATGGCATGAATTTTGGTATGGTGATAGTTCGGTGGCTGTAGAGTGACAAAGGCTACTATTTCCCGCGGAAAAACATCTCATTCCCATGGAAAAATTGAATATGTTGCAAAATTAAATTCAGCTAGGTGGCACCACCGTGATTCTACAAGACGGACGACGGTACGATGGACGAGCACAGAAGGTCAGAATATCTGGATTATTATGTCTTTTTACCAAATTAAGATAAAAAATGTATGGATCTGTATTTTTCCACGCAGGAACGGGAAGAGAGCGATAAAAAACATAAAATTCACCAGCTGATTTTCTTCAAACGTTTTGGTGCTTTGTAATTCATAGAATAGGCGATAGCCTCGCAGACGATATTAAGTAATCCGTTGATGCTATGATGCCTACCCTGCAAGGGTTACAGGCGTGATTATAAGTATATTTTAAGAATGATAGATTTCATAATTGTGGATGAAAGAATGAGGAGCGTAGTCGTGGATACAAGAGTTTACCGGGTGAAATAGAGTAAATGGGGCTCTACACTCTATTGTGGAAAGTCAGAATGTGTCGAAAAAGGCATGTATGGCAATTCACAGTGCTGTGTTAGTCCCTACTTAAACTTATGGTAGTGAAAGTTGGGTGTGGCAGAAGAAGCACGAGAGTAGTTACGTTAGGGCTGAATCTGAGTGACAGGGTGAGAAATTGTGTGATAAGAGAAGAGTGTGGTTTGCAAGATGATGTTGTGACGAGGATTAAAAAAAAGGAATGCTTCGGTGGTTCGGTCCTGTAGAAAGAATGAATGAGGAAAGAGTGACAAAGCAAATTTATGCTGCAGAAGTGAACGGCAGAGTCGGTAAGGGACGGACTAGGCGAAAGTTTGTCGACCAAATTGGCGATCTATTAAAAAGGAGCCAAATTAAGACTACCCTTAACCGACGAGCATGTATGCGTAGGTATATGGATATGGAAGAGGCGAGAGAGTTTCTTATTTATTTATTTAAAAACTTACATGTAATACCTTAAGCTGAAGGGTACATAGGGCGGACTTAATGCCATGTGGCATTCTCTGCCAGTCAACGCTGGGTGCCAAGGACAATTGTTGGCAGGTGCGACCATTATACATAAATAAGTGCACATACATTAAAATATACACACATATAGTATAAATATACGTACAATAATACATACATACATATATATAATATATATACATGCTTATAAACTTCGTAAATAAATATCAAAATGAATGATAATGTATATAATATAATGTTTGAATAATATATAATGAAATAAATATTTGAAGTAAAAAAAGAAGAAAAGAAAAACAAGAATTATAGGAAAAATAATGTCAAATAGTAGTTGCCTTCAGGTAATGTTCTCGGAGAAGAACTTTGAAAACTTTTTTATTTTTGGTATTCTTAATACCATTAGGGAGGGTGTTCCAAAGTTGTATAGCTTGTATCGTAAAAGACGACTTAAAAAATTAGACTTGCTGTGGAAACCTTAACCTCAGACGGTTTGACTGTCGGGAAGTTCGACCGTCGATCGAATGAAAAAAATGAAAATTATCCTTAAGATAAGAAGGCGACCTTGGATCGTTTAAAATTGAATAAAGTACGAGTAAAATTCTAGAGCATTTGACGGATAGGTAGCCATTTAAGCGTTGAACGATAGGATGATATGTGGTCATACGTAGGTAAACCAAAAATAAACCTTAGGAAATTATTAAGAAGGCGCTCCAACTTGTTTAGAAAATTTTCTGACAGATCTGGGTAACATACATCGGCATAGTTGATAATAGGTAGAATGAGGGAACGAACCAGCGTAAGCTTGGTTTTGAATGGTAGGAAATTTTTGAGTTGTGTCAGGATCGTGCCAAATGGAAGTCTGTAGTCTCTGCTTACCCTTCTGGGTGACAGGCGTGAGTGCTTATGTCGTATATATTTAATATATTAAATTTTTAATTTGTATAAATTGAAATATGCGTATAGTCTGTTCGCTGAGATACTGTCGGTACATCCGGAGGTGCACTTGTTATTTTGCTTTTATTTTAATATTTTTTACTGTGTTTGTTAAATTAATATTTTTCTATGCTAAAAATAAAATATAATACTATTATTTTATATAGCATAAACACTCACGCCTGTCACCCAGAGGGGTAGGCAGAGACTACAGACTTCCATTTAGCACGATCCTGACATACCTTTCTCGCCTCTTCCACATCCATATACCTACGCATACATGCTCGTCGGTTAAAGGTACTCTTAATTTGGCCCATTTTTAGTATATCGCCAATTTGGTCGACAAACTTCCGCCTAGGACGTCCCTTTCCGACTCTTCCATTCACTTCTGCAACATATATTTGCTTTGTCAGTCTTTCCGCATTCATTCTTTCTACATGACCAAACCACCGAAGCATTCCTTTCTTAATCCTGGTCACCGCATCATCTTGCAAACCACACTCTTCTTTTATCACACAGTTTCTCACCCTGTCACTCAGATTCAGCCCTAACATACTCCTTAGCGACCGCATTTCTACTGCATTTATTCTACTCTCGTGCTTCTTCTGCCACACCCAACTTTCACTACCATACGTTAAAGTAGGGACTAATACAGCACTGTGAATTGCCATACGTGCCTTTTTTGACACATTCTGATTTTTCACAATAGAGTGTAGAGCCCCATTTACTTTATTTCCTGCATTCACTCGTCGTTCAATGTCCTTATCATATCTCCCATCCCTGCTGAATACACATCCCAAATATACGAACTCATCCACTTGCTCAATTAACTCTCCTTCTATTCTTATTTCACATACCGTTTTGCTTTCATCTCTTTCAAAAACCATCACTTTCGTCTTACTTGCGTTCACTTTCATTCCCCTTTCTTTTAATGACCTGTTCGTTAATGTAACCATCATTTGCAACTCGGCCGCCGACGACGCAAGTATGACTTGATCATCGGCGTACAAAAGGCATTTAATGGTTAACTCACCCATTCTTAACCCGCATTCTTCAACTTTCAAATTTTCCAAACAGCTGTCCATAAATAGGTTGAACAGCCACGGGGAAGCTACACAGCCCTGTCTGACACCTTTATGGATGCCAAACCAGTCCGAGTAGACCCCGTTGATTCTAACATAAGCACTCGAGTCCCTATACAGAGACTTTAATGCCTGTATCAAACCAGCGCTCAACCTAAATGCGTTCAGCGTTTGCCATAACATATCCCTGTCCACTCTGTCATAAGCCTTTTCCAAGTCCACGAATGCACAAAAAACTTTTTGGTTTTTTCGCTAAAACTTCTCCGCGATCATGCGCATGGAAAAGACTTGATCTGTACACCCCATTCCCTTTCTAAATCCCGCTTGCACATCCCAAATTTTTTCATCAGTTTCTTTCATAACTCTTTCAATTAGTACCTTAGCATACAGTTTTCCCACAATGCTAAGAAGGCTGATACCACGGTAGTTTTTACAGTCCTGCTGTGACCCTTTTCCCTTATATATTGGGACTATCACGGCTTTGCACCAGTCTCCTGGTACCCGCTTTAGTTCCCAAGATAAATTAAACAAGGTGTACAGCAGGCCTGCCACCACGTCCTCTCCAGCCCTTAGCATTTCGAGTGAAACTCTATCATATCCGGCTGCCTATATTAACTAATATATTTAACTAATTACTATATTATTATTATTATTATGATTATTGTAGTAAAATACGAATATAAAGAATAATAACAAGTTAAGTAGCAAAGAACCTTTCACTACGGCGCTTAGTTTAAAAATTCATAATTTTCTTGAGGGGGTGTACGCCGCACGCGGCGACCTTTGATGTGGCGGCGGCACCTTTGACAGGATGCGGTGCGTGCCAAGGCGGCGCGATACTAAGGCGAACTTATCTAAGCGAGCAAACTAAACTAGATCTAAGTAATACACTCAAAACATTGTAAGTCATGTTCCATGTTTTTAATAATAATTTACTTGTTAGAGCTTAGAAGTACAAGCGGTTGCAAACAGACAGCTGAAGGAACAGTTAAAGAGACAGTTTGAGATCCAACAAGAGATACTTCAGGAGAGACTTGCAAAGAAGGACAAAGAGGTAAGTTCCTAATTAAGTTATTAAATGATTTATAGAAGAATTCCCTGTTAGATTATTTTATATATTTTTATTTGCTGACTTGTATATAATAAATGTGTTAAAAGTCAAAGTCAAAACTTTATCCAGGCTTGTTTAAAGCTTTTATAAACTACAAAATCTATTGGTTTAACAATTTGCTCTTAAACGGCAATAAGGCAAAATGTATTAAACTTACAACACCTAATGTTAAACATTAGAATACCAATATGCTCTTAAATGGGGAAGCGTTGAATCTTGTGGATACCACTGTTTTCCTTGGTATTACTGTTGATGCTAAGATTCAATGGGGCCCACATATATATCTAAATTAGCAAGCAGACTTAGTTCTGCAGCATATGCTGTAAGAAAAATTAGAAGTTTCACCAATGTCAAGTTTAGTTTATTTAGTTAATTTCATAGCGTAAAGTCTTATGGAATTTTGCTATGGGGTTATGCGACTGACATTGAAGCCATATTTGTTTTGAAAAAGACAGCCGTACGTTCGATTTCTAACCTAAATTGGACTCCCTCAGAGAAATATTTAGAAAAACAAACATATTAATTTTGGCACAGGAATATATTTATGAAAGTGTAATGTATGTACATAAAACATAAATAGCTTTCATAAGAATAAAGATGTTCATACTTTAAACACAAGGAACAAACAAAAGCTTGTAATACCAGTTACTAGACTCCACAGAATTGTAATTCATTTATGGGGAAATGTATACGCTTTTGTAAAAAAATCCCGGAAAATAGTCAAAGTTTGTCAATAAACAAGTTTATAAGTTTTATTAAAGAAAAATTGTATAAAATGGGTTATAATATCAAGTAATACAATTAAAATAACACCTGGAAATGAGGTGATCGCTACCATGCTGGTTCTATTAAAATTCATTCATTTATCATATTACTTCTAAGGTCTCCAAACGTTTTATATTAAACAGAACAAACAATTTTCTCAATTTCCTCTTATTTGTGCATATACGGTAATGAAATCAGTTGTCCCCAGTGACAAAACAGCTTTTTAAATTTATTAAGATTGTGTTAGTTGCAATATAATATTTTTCTGTTGTTCTAGATGGAAAAGACCGCAGTAAAAGTAGCTCTAGTCGGTAGCGACGGGGCATCACTGCCCGTGTATTTCCTATCGTGGCTTCAATCGAAACTGCTGTTCCAAAAGGTAAGATCTCATCGGCCTGGAAATATGCATCAGCCTGGGCCAGTTCTTAGTCAAAAGTCAGAATGTAGGTATTCTGACTATTGGTTATGAGGTATCGCTTTTATTGTTTAAAAATCTCCCAAAAAGCTTTTTTTTATAGAAGAGGGGGGCAAACGAGCATGCGGTTCACCTGATGTTAAGTGACTACCGCCGCCCACCGCCGGCCTTTTAGAAAGGAGTACTAAGCTCTTTTCTCGAAGGTCCCTAATTCGTATCGGTGCGGAAAAATCGCCGGTGGTAAGCAATTCCACAGATGAGTTGTACGAGGAAGAAAGCTAGTAAAACTCACAGTGGTGGACCGCCAAGCATCCAGATGGTGAGGATGGTATCGTGAATTTTGACGCGATGTGCGTTCGTGAAATTTGGCGGCTGGAATTAATTCAAACAATTTGTCAGAACACTCCCCATGGCAGATACGATAGAAAACGCAAAGTGATGAAACATCCTTACGCAGCTTTTTTCCCTTTGAACATTAAACAAGATTTATACGGTTTAATGTTTGTATTTATTTTTTATTTATTTAATAATATATGTACAAACAAAGTAAAAAGAGATTTTTGTACCACGTCACTGGAACAAATTTCAATATATGAAGTATTGAAATTTGTTCCAGCAGGTCTGATACAGGACATTTCAAAGAGTAGGATAGGATACCTGTTTTGCATAGGACTAGGAGTCAATCTGGGTAGATACCGGCCTCTTTCCTGTTTCTGCCACGTAGCAGCGGTGTACTTTGTGTTCCGGTGTGGATGGTATAGTTACAGGTTGTGATCATTTCTCCCGTGGGTGTCGTAAGTTGTGACTGAGGGAAACAAACCGGGAGATACGCGGCAGCGTCTTCATAATAACAAATAAAAAATAAAAAAAACTCCGGTTGATAACCGTGCTGCCAAGTTAGGCGACTATGGCAAATATCGCCCTATGAGGAAATCTATAGGAGAGGCCGGTAACGGTATGTTGGGATTGTGTGTCGTCCAACGTTATCATAAAAGGATATTGATACGCTTTCATCCATTCTTGGGCCCAGATTGTAAAAAGATGAAAGAGGTTTCAATCAATAGCTTATATATTGTCAAAAAATCACTGAAAATTCGGCGTATTTTAGCAATCTGAGAACAAAGTTATAAGAGATTTAGTAAAAGTGAGGCTATGCAACGAGTTGGCAACAATATAAACTAAACAGCTTATTTTTGAAGTGCGATTGCTATTTTGTTTTATTAGACAGTTGATTACCATTATTTGTAGTATTTATTGTATTGTATTGAGTGGTAGGATAATAGCAAACTCATTAATAGATTAAAAGATAGGGACGGTTACGTGTATATTTATTACGTACATACAGAATACAGATTGAGTCAGGCAGGAGCTGTCACTGTCAGCACAGATTAAAAATACAGTTGGCAAACAAGTAATAAATCGAACTGTAAACGAGAATCGATTTAAAGATTTATTTTTATGATGTTAATATTTTATTTTTGAAACTGTTAACAATATGTTAATTGTACTTTAATGTAATTTTAAAAAATTGATTAAGTCAATTATCTGCTATAAGTTGGTTTTATACTTAATTGTCAAAACTCATTCATATTAATCGATTAAAGTAATCGATTTATGATTTTGTTGGTGACATGAAATTATTTTTAGGATTTTTCGTCTTTCAGATTGTGAATTGGGCTAATTTTCTATATTTTGAAATTATAATTATATATTACAAATGGGCCCAGAAATCCGTCTCCTTTATATTGTTAACTTAGCGGACCAATAAGTTCGTGGGTGGCTGTGTTCCGAAATGTTCCCAGTGTACTGGGGAAAGTAAATGACGCCATATTGTACTGGCGTGCCGCCGCCATATTGTGTCGGATATCACGCCAAATTAAAACAATTTTTAATTGTATGTACGCTGAATGATGCATGCCAGAATTTGTTTTTATTTATTCACATACAAAAAATATTGAATTATTGCTGGATATAATAACTTTTGGAGCACAAAATGACATAAAATAATCGGCAACACTTTTCCAATATGGCGTAAATGTATGATGTCATATACTGGACAATGTTATGAAACGAATCACCAGTATGACGTCAATTTATGACGTCATTTGCATTGCCCGGTATACTGAGTTCTATTTCGGAATACAGACTATATGTACGTACTGTTACGCGCTCAAGTCGACGGCACTAGCGTCATCTAGTCTCGAACCGAAGAACTAAACTTCTTGAAGTTTAAAACTCGAACTCTCGGTACCTTGCGCGTTTTTACTTGAACATTCTGGATATTTCTTTGCTAATTTATATAAATAGGCGATGCAAGATGCGATCGAGGAAGTATTGGATTTGGCGAGACAAGCGAAGCTTCGGAGCGGAATAAAGTGAATTAGTGTGTTTAATTATTAGTGTTTTAAGTTTTAATTTATGTAAAGTAAATTAAAGTGTTAATTTAGGTAACTTTATCGGCAATTTTTATTGTCACGAACCTCAAGCTCCTAACAATTGGTGTCAGAAGTGGGATAAAATCATGCCGATTTTACAAAAGGAGGAAACGGAGGGTGTCCGTACCCGAAGTCAACGCCAGCAGGACACGGACCAACGTAGATTTGGTGGTGCAACGACGCAGACGTCGGAGGGCCAGCCACCGGCTGCAGGCCCGTCGGTAGCTCCTACATCTGCAGCACCTGACTTAGGTGCTCTGATGGTGATGCTGCAGGAGCAGGCTCGCCGACAGGAGGACCTGGCTCGCCGACAGGAGGAGCAGGCCCGTCAGTTGAAAGAGCAGCTGCAGAGCGGACAAGAGGAACAGGCCCGCCGACAGGAGGAACAGATGCTCCTCATGAAGGACCTTCACGCTACCTTTGCGAAAGAGATAAGGGAGGTGAAGGATAGGGTTGCTCAACATTACAACCGCCTGTTGGAAGCTGAAACCTGAATCGAAGAACATGAAACCCGAATCAACCATGTGAACAATCGGGTTGACAACGTGATGGCTGACGTGAAGAAAACGCTGAACGACCTCAAACTTGGGGATGGAACTACAGCTCCCGTAGTAGCTACAGCACCTTCGCTACGTGGATTCAAAGTGCCGCCGTTCGACGGGACTTCTTCCTGGTCGGCCTATAAAATCCAGTTCGAGGCCGTCATGGAGGCAAACGGGTGGAATAAAAGCCAGGCAATGACTGCACTCACCTTAGGCCTGCGCGACCAAGCCTTAACCGTGTTGGAAGCTCTCGGTAAAAAAGTGACCTACGAGCAGCTCCTTGAGGCATTGGAGGCGAGATATGGTGACGCTCACCTGGAACACGTCTTTCGCGCGCAGCTTAAAGATCGTGTGCAACGCAGCAACGAAAGCCTGCAGCAGTGGGCCCTTGAGGTGGAGAAGATGGTTCGAAAAGCATACCAGTCTGTACCTGCGCTCATTGAAGGGAACCTGGTGCAGACATTCATCGACGGCATCCGCGACCTGGAAGTCAGAGCTGCTGTGAGGCTCGGGCACCACGAGACGCTTAAGGACGCCTTGGCCCATGTACTGGAGGTAGAAGCCGTGCGGCAGGATCATCGTTCCCATCGCGTCAGGGAGGTTGCAGCAGCTACAGTTCGCGACCGCAACAAAGGATACAGCCCTAGGTGCTATGGCTGTGGGGAAGAGGGCCACCTTCGATCCAGCTGCCCTAAGCGAACCCTAGAAAGGGAAGGTGAACGATCTCAGAAGGGAAGGGCGGCTAACATCACCGCCCAGCAGCAGAAGGAATACGACTTAACTATCAGATATCGCAGCGGGAAATCTCATGGCAACGCAGATGCACTGTCAAGAAGACCTAGTCCTGAAGATTGCAAACATTGTACTAGGCAAGAGAGTAAGGAAGAGGTATCCGTGAGGATGCTCAGGACAGATCACCTCAGCAACGAATGGAAGGACAGCTTACTACGTGCACAGCAGGAAGATCCGGACATCAAGCCGATTCTAGAATGGATGAAGGCCAATGCTCCCAAGCACAAGTGGAGCGACGTCTCAGCGATGAGTTCGATCACTAAGAGCTATTGGGCCCAGTGGGACAGCTTGTTGCTTCAGGATGGAGTCCTGTGCCGTAAATGGGAAAGTGTTCGGGGAGACAGCTGTCATTTGCAAATGGTTGTCCCTAAAGCTAAAGTACCGGATGTTCTACAGCTGTACCATAATGATTGTTCAGGAGGCCATCTGGGAGTTAAACGAACTCTACTGAAGATCCCAGAACGGTTTTACTGGGTCCACTGACGAAACGATGTCGAGGACTGGTGTCGCAAATGTACAAGTTGTGCGGCTGTAAAGGGACCTCAGACTCGTAGTAGAGGTGCATTGAAGTTGTACAATGTTGGTGCACCATGGGAGAGAATAGCCATTGACGTGGCGGGGCCGTTTCCGGAGAGTGAAAGCGGTAACAAGTATTTCATGGTTGTGATGGATTACTTCACTAAGTGGCCAGAAGTCTTCGCCATTCCAAATCAAGAAGCTTCAACAGTTGCAAATAAACTAGTTCATGAATTCTTCTGTCGTTTTGGAGTACCTTTAGAGATTCACAGCGATCAAGGAAGGAATTTTGAGTCTCAAATATTCCAGGAAACTTGCCGAGTTATGGGCACTCTTAAAACAAGAACGACTTCTTATCACCCGCAATCTGATGGAATGGTAGAATGATTTAATCAGACATTGGAGAGGTTTTTTGCGTGGCCCTTTGGTCTTCTCGTTGGTTTCCTGGCCGGCGACCTTGTTCTTCTATAAACGACCCACGTATAACCTAGCAAAAGTTGTAGACAATCGGCAACGAGATTGGGACAAGCACATGTCCCAATCTCGTTGCCGATTGTTGTTATATCGAAGCGCTGTTCACGAAAGTACAGCAGTGACACCAGCTTTCGCAAACTTTGGAAGAGAATTACGGCTGCCTGCAGACCTGATCACCGGGATACCACCTGATGCTCCACGCAGTATAACCGATTATGCAAATGACTTGCGGAACAAAATGAATGACGTTTATGAGCACGTCAGACAATCGGGCCAGCAAATGTCTGAAAAGATGAAAACCCGGTACGACCGCAAAATGAACAACAAAGGGTTCGACGAAGGTTCACTTGTGTGGTTGCACAATCCAGTCCGCAGCAAAGGAAAATCTCCTAAGCTTCAAGCTAAATGGGACGGCCCGTACCGGATTGTGACCAGGATCAACGATATAACCTACCGGATACAGAAAGGCGCAAGAGGGACTCCTAAGATCGTCCATGTGGATCGCCTAGCGCGTTATTATGGGGCCGATAATGCTCGGGACGAGCATGTCTTAGGAGGGGGCAGTGTTACGCGCTCAAGTCGACGGCACTAGCGCCATCTAGTCTCGAACCGAAGAACTAAACTTCTTGAAGTTTAAAACTCGAACTCTCGGTACCTTGCGCGTGTTTACTTGAACATTCTGGATATTTCTTTGCTAATTTATATAAATAGGCGCTGCAAGATGCGATCGAGGAAGTATTGGATTTGGCGAGACAAGCGAAGCTTCGGAGCGGAATAAAGTGAATTAGTGTGTTTAATTATTAGTGTTTTAAGTTTTAATTTGTGTAAAGTAAATTAAAGTGTTAATTTAGGTAATTTTATCGGCAATTTTTATTGTCACGAACCTCAAGCTCGTAACAGTACGTTTCCATCAGATGTTATATTTTTGAATGTTTTCAGTTCGCAGAAATTCCCAAGGATGAATTGGAGAACAAGCCAATGGACTTCACCAAATTGGATACGTTTGATATAATCCAGAGAGCGAGGTACTGACTCTTTCAATTCCACAATTTTGTACTAAACTTATATTAGATAATTTTGTTCGCACGGAGGAGTTTGAGATTTAGAAAGTCAAAATATGTCGGAAATTAAACATGAGGAGATCCCACTTCTGATGTCGGAAATTCCACCACAATTACACATTGGTGTAACGTGAGGGACATAATTACATGATAACATCAAAGTATGCAAACCAATATCAACACTACACATCTCACAGAAAAGCTTCTCAGCAACACTATCTTTCTCGTCTGCACCAGCAGAACCACCACAACGGACAGAAGCATGAGACTATCCTAGCGCTACTACCACGTAGAATGGTTTAGCCGCCCACGACGCCTGCAGTGAAATTTATACTGCACAAACGAGTGGGGAGTTTCTCGATATATCCTCATTTCCACCTCGCCACCATCGATATAACGCTCCGCTGGTGACGCAATCTCTCGCTCTCTCGATTCCACTGGTGTTTTATAGACGCGCCTACATATAATATGTATTTACAAATATGTCATCATTATCATCATCATTACAGCCCTTTACAAGTCCACTGCTGAACATAGGCCTCCCCCAAGGTATGCCACAAAGCACGGTCCTGAGCCACCTGCATCCATCGACTTACTGCATGTCTTACCAGGTCGTCACTCCATCTAGTGGGGGGTCGCCCTACACTTCGTCTACCGGTACGAGGCTGCCACTCGAGAACCTTTTTTCCCCAACGGTTGTCGGTTCTTCGAGCTATATGGCCGGCCCATTGCCACTTCAGCTTACTAATCCGTTGGGCTATGTCGGTCACTCTGGTTCTACTGCGGATATCCTCATTTTTATGTTTATCACGCAAAGAAACTCCGAGCATAGCCCTATCCATAGCTCGCTGAGCGACTTTGAGCGTCCTCATACGGCCAACAGTGAAGGAACACGTCTCAGTTCCATATGTCATCACTGGCAACACGCACTGGTTGTACAACTTAGTTTTCAGGTTTTGAGGTATACCTGACGAGAAGATGTGTCGTAATTTCCCGAACGCTGCCCAGCCGAGTTGAATCCGTCGATTGACCTCTCGGTCGAAGTTGGACTTACCTAGCCGGACTATTTGTCCCAGGTAAAAGTACTCGTCAACAACTTCGAGCTTAGTGCTCCCAACAACTACCGGCATAGGTGTGACATGGACATTAAACATGATCTTTGTTTTGTCCATGTTCATCTGACCTATCCGTTGGGAGGCACAATTGAGGTCATTGAGCATAGTGCTTAAGTCCTCCTGCGATTCTACCATAAGGACTATCGTCGGCAAATCGAAGGCGATTGATGTTAATACCGTATCCTTTCTAGTCCAGTAGCTTGAAAAAAGTTTTTATTAATTTATTTAATGTACAAATATGTACATTAAATAAATTAATAAAAACATTATGTTCATATTTCGAATGTCAAACACATACTAGTCTGGGATCAAACAGTCACACAGAGTAGAAATTGTTGTCACAGAATTGTTCCTTTTTCAATAGTCTATGGAGTGCATGTCAAGGCATAAAAGCGTTTATTTTAATTTTTGTATACGAAATGTCTGTGTGGGTATAACATGGAGTTGCTTAATATACATTCGTAAAAATTCAATGAAATACGGTCGAATTTCGACTATTAGGCGACACTAATTTATTTAAATCGACATCGTTAATCGTGAAACAAAATAATAACAATCGAAATACTACTCAAAAAGTTGAATTGTATTTTTTTTGCAAATCTTAATATATTTTTATAGAATAATCGTGTGTTATAAATGAAAACAGTCCACAGGATGGGAAGCGAATGCTGAAGTCTACTGACATCTCTACATTCTATTATCGATTATGAATCAAAATGCAGATGCGTTGTCCTCTTGTGGATTAAGACGTAATTTCTCATTTCCAGTAAAAAGGGCCTCCGGTTCTCTACCATCCTTTTAACGTGGTAGAGCCATGCTGCAGTTATAGTTGTAGCACGAGTAGGTCGGCTCGACCGGGGAAGAACCACGCTCTCACAGAATACCAGCGTAAAATAGAAACTTGATGCTGCTGTGTTTCGTATGGTGAGTGTAGAGATCCGGAGACTTTTTACTGTAATCAAGGCATTCCATCTTAGTCCTCAGGGGTGACAACGCATTTGCATTTTGATTCTTAATTGAGGATAGGTGTAGATGTCTATGGACCACAGCATCCACTTACCATCAGGTGGACAAAGGACAAAGGAGCACACAGCTCCTTTGTCATCCATTGCTGTAAAAAAAATCCTCACCGTACAATACACAGCAACATTAAGCTGCTATTTTACGCTAGTGTTCTGTGAGAACGTGGTTCTAGTCCCAGTCGAATCGATACATATCAATACAACTGCAACATGGCTACCACGTAAAAAGAATGCATAAATACTTTGCAATTAGTAAGCTGTGCAGGTATACCCCAAAACCTGAAAACTAAGCTATGCAACCAGTGCGTGTTGCCAGTGATGACCTACGGAACCGAGACGTGGTCCTTCACTGTTGGCCGTATGAGGACGCTCAAAGTCGCTCAGCGAGCTATGAAGAGGGCTATGCTCGGAGTTTCTCTGCGTGATAAACTTAGAAATGAATATATTCGCAGTAGAACTAGAGTAACTGACATAGCCCAACAGATTAGTAAGCTGAAGTGGCAATGGGCCGGCCATATAGCTCGAAGAACCGACAACCGTTGGGGAAAAAAGGATCACAAGTGGCAGCCTCGTACCGGTAGGCGTAGTGTAGGGCGACCCCCCACTAGATGGAGTGACGACCTGGTAAGACATGCAGGAAGTCGATGGATGTACGTGGCTCAGGACCGTGCTTTGTGGCATACTTTGGGGGAGGCTTATGTTCAGCAGTGGACTTGACTTGTGAGTGGGCTGTAATGATGATGATGAGCAGTGCGAAGCTACATAATTATTTTACTAATATAATTTTTTAGAGATACTTCATGGAACACGGTGATTTACAATCGGCCCTACGGTATGTGAACCTGTTGCAAGGCGCCCCGAGGGCGGCCGCTTCTCACTGGGCCACGGCCGCGTGACAGCACTTGGAAGTGCGACAAGCCGCTGAGGCGGTAATGGCATACGCCTCTGTATCCGGCCTCTTGTAATTGTAGACCTTTTACATTCAAATCTGTTTCGTTTTTCACGTTGGTACTGTTTGCTTATTAAAATTGCATGTTTATTGCAAAGTTGTATTATTTTAAACAAAAATAAGTTAATGTTTTAATGGAACATTATGGTTGACCAGCTAACAATGCGCTTTTGTTTTGTAAATTCACATCATTGTATTGTGGACTTTATTTGAAAGTTCAAAGAGTTTAAACTTTTACAACAAGTTGTTATTGAAATATTTTGATGGAACAATAAACCTACTTTAAAATATCCCTGTATACTTTTTTGTAATAAATTTTCTGTCTGCTTAGGAAAAAAGGAATTGCCTTTTACAAAAAATAAATATCATATTACATTTTAACATAAAAATTGAGTATAATGTCCTTACCTTTCTATTGTTTATCATAACTATTTGTGCCGGACGGGCGAAACTCTCCGGAGTAAATGTTGGCGAAGATACTTCGCGAGTCGCTCACATCCTACACCAATAGGTTCCGGTGGGTACTCTCACCGCCGTCTTTGTTGTTGCCGCTGAAATATTGTGGACTGTAGTTAAAATCAAAATGCACGATTAACAAATACAAATAGCAAGGTAGTGGCCAGCGGTTCGACTGATTGATTAGTCGCGAAATTTTATAACTATTTATCACGGTTGTTAAACTACGGTTGTTCACTGTATATTTCAAAAGATTTCTTTAAATTGTACGGTGGTATCAAATATCTATTGGTAGTAGCTGGTTTTCTAACACTACTGACTAGCAGCTATTATCAACTAAACTAGTTGATTTTATCACTTGTGTAACTGCGGATATCAGTTACCACTTTCACTATATGTAACTGCGAATATCAGTTACGACCTTTTTAGGCTAGCTAACACTTTCACTATGTAACTGCGAATGTCAGTTACGACCTTTTTAGGCTTGCTAACACTTTCACTATGTGTAACTGCGAATGTCAGTTACGACCTTTTTCGGCTAGCTAACACTTTCACTATGTGTAACTGCGAATGTCAGTTACGACCTTTTTCGGCTAGCTAACACTTTCACTATGTGTAACTGCGAATATCAGTTACGACCTTTTTCGGCTAGCTAACACTTTCACTATTCACTATATACTGCTACTAGTCACTTCAGCTACCACCGGATACCACTCACTTCACTTCACTTGTCACTGGTAGTTCTTCACACTACTACTCCTACTGGGTCACGAGCCCCTAAGGTAGACTTTAGCAATACTTTATAGTGAGCCGCTTGCCATTTTCCGTTTTGCCTCTTTATTGCATAAACTTTTCACTATACAAATGGCATAAATTGCAATATTTTCTATACAAAACTAATTGCTATACTAACATGCTATACATCATTAAATCGGTAGTCTGGTACTTTATTAGTATATCATAAAGGTTCCTCAAAACATTAACATTGTAAAAAGTTATTAAACGAAATGTCCCAAATTTTCATAATATTTGGGTAGATTAATTCTTTAATTTTTATATAAATATCAAATGCGTTTAATTATACAAAATATTCCTACACTTCTTTAATCTATAAGCCATATGCTAATTCAATGTCATATTTATAACTCTTTTAGAACATAAAATTATTTTCATTATTTTTAGTATGAACTATTACGCAGTTAATTAAAAAACTTCTAGAGAGTTCTACGATAAGACGCGCTGTGATTGGTCGATTTTTCTTAATATAATAAAAGTTGTTTATATTACTTGTTATCAAAACGACATTCTATACAAATATACTAAGAGTTATAAACATGATAAACAACTATATTAATACACGTTTTCATCCAGTTTTGTCGGCAATTTCATTATTAATACAAAAACAATATTCTTTATAACTTTGTTTCTTAACGTTGTTAGGCCGTCGCGAAGACTATTTCAAAGGTATTTCATATTTAATTTTAATTTTACATCAAAAATGTAAATAAGTAAATAAAATAATTATAATATAATTATTTTTAAGTCTTCATCGTGAAAAACGAAGAGATTACGTGTACAGACCATCGAGGGAAATATGAACCCTAACACTTAGGTATTGAAATACGTTTTCAAGTCTGACGCACCTCTGTTGTTTAATTTTTAATTTATTCAATCGTACATCAATCGGTCGGTACAGATCGGTTATTTAAAATGTTTGTATTTTTGAAAACATTCTGCTATTTATACACTATTGTAAAATAATGATTTTTCAACATTAGACATCTTAATTTTGATTCATCATTTGAATTTATGCACTAATTAAATATAGAGTAAAGTGTACTTTTGTAAATGAAGATTGATGTACGATGTCTCATCTTTGAAAAACAATTAAAAAAAATGAATATACAAAATGTTATATTTTTCATCATTCGACCTTGCATTTATGTCGGACTGTCGCAAATATAACGAAATTTTCAACGTAGTGACGTAACTATTGAACCTTTTGTAATTTTAGTAACTTATGTAAATATTTAAATACGTTATTTAAAAATTAGAGAATGAGTTTTATTTCACCGTTTTGTTTTATTTATACTATTGACTCTGAGCTCAAACAAAATAATAATAATAATAATAATAATATTTCCATTAGAGCATATGAGGAGTACATTGGAAGAGGCGATTGTGGAAACGCGCAGTATGCCTCTCGAAAATCGACCGCGACTTCCCCGCATAGCCCTAAGCAAGCGGAATCGGACTGTCGTGAGGGCTCTGAACCCAATGCTGGTGACCTATTTGGAAGCCAGCCGGGACCTTTGCGAGACGGACTCAATTCTTTTTGGCGCCGCGCTGGCAGTCTGCCGTATCATAGTTGCCTAGAGCTCTCATCGGCAGACTGATATGCTTCAGATCAGGCAATAACAGGCCAAGAATTGTGCGCACCGTCAGGATGGCGTTTGCTGGGACAAATGTCAGTTTGTCCCAGCCGGATATAACGCAAAAACTGACGGAGCGTATAGATGATCTGAAGCAGAGAATCGCTGCTTGGGGAAAGCGGATTCGGCGATATACCGAGAGGTCGACACGGTTCAACCAGAATCGTCTCTTCCAGAGTGATCAGAAGAGGCCCTATGAATCATTGGAGCGATCAATAAGTGGAACGGGCCCATCACCGAATCAGGCCGACACTGTAGCATTCTGGCGCGGCCTGTGATCAGAGCCCGTAAACCACAGCGAGGGCCCTTGGACGGAAGTTGTGGCGAGTCAGTGTGCGAGTATAAAGCCCTCCTTAGCCTTACTCCTAGGCAGGCAGTGCCAGTTGTCACTTAACAAAGGCCTTTTGTGTTTGGGCATACGCCCTGTTCAAACAACAATAATTCTTAAAGTAATAAATATACAGCTGTAAACTTTATGTTGCATTGTAGCTTAACTCAAAATTTGTCGATCTAGTATAAAAATAAAAAGGGTGAACGTGGTTGACCAAATTGGCGATATACTAAAAATGGGCCAAATTAAGAGTACCCTTAACCGACGAGCATGTATGCGTAGGTACTCGTATATGGATGTGGAAGAGGCGAGAAAGGTATGTCAGGATCGTGCTAAATGGAAGTCTGTAGTCTCTGCCTACCCCTCTGGGTGACAGGCGTGAGTGTTTATGTTTATGTTTTTATGAACGGGGTTGTTTTTGCAGTAATTTACAATAATTTGCCGATTAGCATATTTTTTTGATATTTATTTGAAGTCAAATTTTTTTTCTTCAAAGTTACAAGTATGTCAACAAAAATTTTGATAATGTAAATGATAAACAATATTATTGGCCTCCGAATGAGTTAATTTTTATCTCAGTAAGACTAAAACTTTCAGAGATATGACTTTTTTCGTAAACGCGTAGAGAATATCTCAAGAGAAAAACAAAATGGCTGCCAAATAGAGGGGGAGGGGGATTAGACCTCAGTGTGTAGTGTATTTTTATATTAAAATAGCTGTATTATAAGTACCTAAAATATCGCTAGTCCGTGACCGGACACACTGTATATTATCAAAAGACACTCTGATATGGTATTGTGTCATTGTATATATCATGAAGGTTAGAGAACAGGAGAACGATCGCCGTAGAAAATAGTGTCCCAGAAATATGGACACCATAAGTGAGGCGCTGCGATCGCTAAAATCGGTCAATAAAAGTCATTTTCAGTCTATTTTTCCGATCAGATGCTAAACCACTTGCGAATCCACGCAATAAAATATTTCTCCATTTTTTAATGTTTCTTTTTGTCAAAAATTACAAAATTACGGAGCATGAAAATTTTCACACCAATGCCGCGAAGAAAATCTGTACATTATTAAACTAACTTCATCTACTTGTACTCATAAATATTTGAAGCGACAGTAGCCTAATAGCAGGGCGCGGACCTCGAACTCAAAAAGGTCGTGGGTTCGAATCCGCCATTCGACTACTGGCGTGAACCACGCGTAACACAAGCAATTTAAGCTTACCAAGAGAATATTAGTAATGTTTATAGCATTGTTAATATTCTTTAAAAAAAACAGCTAACTTCGCAGTCACTACTCACAGACGTCAGGGCCGCTATAAAATCTACAATTTTCAAGGACAGACGGGCTATGCTTTAGTACGTAGTGATCGTTTTCCTGTTCTCTAACCTTCATGGTATATACAAAAGTTGGTAATAGGTACTTACAGTGATGTTTTAACGTTCCTCAACTCGGCAGAACGAAAATCGGTATTGCATGCAAAAAAATTGCCACCATCAATGTATTTATCCTTTCCTTTTATCCAGATTAGTACTTTCTGCTTTTATGAATCCGTTTTCCATGATGCCATTTCAATTAAATATGTAATAAAAGTCAACAATCGTGATGGTAACTTGAGAAATTCCTCAAAAAATCCGTAGGAAAGCGTTAAATAAGGGTGGCGCCACTGTAGCTACAGTCTAAATTTTAAAGAACTTTTTATCATTTTTTATTGCACAGACTTTCACCATAAATCTTTTTACAATAATTATTTTATTGCTTTCAAAATTTTTATTTTCAAAATCACTCTCAACGTATTTTATGGCGATTTATCATAGCTACCTGTACCCTGTAGCTACTCGAGCGCTGTTGTGGAGAGTTTTTGAACTGTTATTTACTGGATACATTTTCAACTATTCTCCTATGGGAGATTGTCCTTCTTAACCTCTATACTCCATCGAATTGTTTACTATCGAAGTGGCGTCACGGCAGTATCTAGTATGGTTGATAGCACGCATTTTTTCATTTGAGGCACAGGTAAAAAATATTCTTAAAATTGGATTAAAAATTTTTTAATTTTTTATGGAAAGAAATCAACCCTTCTCGTTGACTTTCTACAAAACCTATCGTAAATACATGCTGCAAAATACCTTATTCCATGTGACGATTCTGTTCCTTAACGGAAGAAACACCTTTGCACATCCTCACTAAATGCTTGTACTTAACCCGCAAACGTAACACTCATTTGGAAAATTATGTACTTCAGAAGAAGTGAAAATGCTCACAACTAGCATCTTCTTCAATGCGTTGTAAAGATAGGGCTTAATAGTGAAGTAAAGTCATAGCAGTGATCACAATAGATCATACTGATCGCAGTGAAACTGATTTGGTTAGACCAGTAAAGCTGTTCGCACAATAAAAACAAATTTGTTGGATAGGTTTATTGGCTGTGATCAAAACCGGCCAGAAGGTAGGTATCATTAAATAGTTTGCATGGCTGGTTTATTTTAAAACATAATGATTTATATATTCTTTGTTTTGTCACAATTTCTTTTTCAACTTCTGACAAATACGTATGTCACAACAATGTAAATTTTATAATTTTAAAAGACTTTTTAAGAAAGCAAACAAAATCTATGTTTGATTTTAAAATAAACGAATAAGGCGAAATGATAAGGATAGCAAGGCGTTTGCTACAAAATGGAAGTGTTATGGTATGTAATGAATCTCTTAGATAAATAAAGTGTTAACTATTAAAGAAAATAAGTTTTTAGAGAACCGAAGACCCTTTTTACTGGAAGCGAGGTATTCTACATTAGTCCTCAGGATTGACAACGCATCTGCATTTTGATTTTTAATCGAGGATAAATGTAGATGTCTATGGGCCACAGCGTCCACTTAGCAAAACAGGTGTGCGCTCGTTTGTCACTCACACATTAAAAAAAAAACGACATTAAATTGTAATCGAGGGTTTATAAAAACTGATTTATACAAATTTACGGTACATTAGCTTATTTGAGAAATTATAATATTTTGAGGATATGCGGAGGCCCCCAACATCGGAATAGCGCGACGGATGCTTTCCTGCTCCCTGCGTTTATATCCATGATTTATTCCATAAATCTTTATGGGTACGAAATTATTCACTGCTGAACATTGGTCTCTTCCATTGTAAGAAATACCAGTATCGATCTGTAATCGCCACGTTCGCCAAACAAGTTGGTGATCGTTACAAGATGTCTCACTACTTTGACGTTGCTCTCCGCCGTCAGTCTGGTAATTAATTACACAGTGACTGCCTCGTTGGTCTAGTGGTTGTAGTAGTACGACTGCTGATCATCCTGGATTCGAATCCCGGGTCGGGCCAAAAAATTAATTATTGAGTTTTTCCGTTAAGAAATTCTCAGTAGTTGCCCGGAGTCAAAAAGCTGGCGGTGTCTCACCCCGTGCCTTGGAAAACACGTAAAGCCGTTGGTCCTTCGCCTGATCTCTCTCCGGTCGTGTCTGTTTACCGTCTCATCGGATTATTAGAGTGAGAGAATAAAGAGTGCACCTGTGCTTGCGAATACGATGGCTAGCCTTCGCTGAGGCAGGCCGCCGTGGCCGAAATTCGGTCTGGAGGACATTATTATTATTATTAATTACACTACTGGGGTACACAAATTAGTCCGATATCTATCATGAGAAAAGGATCTCGACTTTTTCATTGTTGATTGACTGACTGCTTCATTGTTATATCAATAATCGTGACTAAAATGGAAAACACGAATTACTTTTCTTTTGCAAAATTAAAATTTAATTTATAATATAAAAAAATACTGACAACGCAAATCGCTTTCTATAATGGGAGAGATCGTGCTCAGTAGACTTGTCTGGGCGCATCTTACCCAGGGATTGGGGCTTACTACTTACTCTTATGGCACCTACAGGAAGAGATGGAGTGGTAGGTTTTCTTTCAATGCCACCACATGGCAAACTATATAATAATACTACTTTATTTTCACTACTTACATAACTAAAAGTACCCGGATGACAACATTTAGATACAAATTACATACTGATGAATAATATTTTTTGATCTTATTGACGTAATAGAAAAAACTGAACTGGTTATTTGAATAAAAAATCATGAGTGTAATTAGTTTAATTAAAATTTTCCTATTTTTAAAAAATACTAAAAAAGGGCTCGAAATAAAAGATTTTCTCAAAAGAAGGGAACTTGAAAAAAAAAAAAAAAAAAATGGGACCGAAGACGGGACGCGAACCAAGGCATTACGATTTTGCGACCGTTAGATATCCACTTGAGCTATTACGATCATTATCATAGTATCAAAATTTACCTTCCTATATTGTAGCAGTTTTTCATTGCCTGAAAATACGGACAAAAAGACATTTTCCTATAAGTCCTAGCTAGATCGATTTACTGCCCCCGAAACTCCCTGGACACTAACTTTTATGAAAATCGTTAGAGCCGTTTCCGAGATTCCGATTATATATATACAAGAATTGCTCGTTTAAAGGTATAGGATAAATGTAACCATAATCATTAGTTACAACCTATGAAAAATAAAATGTTGAGCATAGGCGATATTTTTTTTTTTTGGAGTTTATGGCCTGGTATCTAGACCTTTAGGCCAATAGGCGACATTTTCAGTAGTTTCCACCATAGATAATATACTATATAGGGAAAAGTTAAGTGGGTTGGCAGCCGGACTTTTTCATTTAGAGTAGTTATCAGGGTCTGTCCACCTACTGTTCCTTTTCGTTATGTCGCCTCGCCTCTAACGAGAATCCACGGGATAACATTGGGTGGCGGATTTTTTTACGCAGTCACTACATAGAGAACTATAATAAGACAAAGTATATTTAAATAGGAATATCATGATGAGATTAGTCAAAAGATTCGTAATTCATCGTGGGGCTTATGATGGCGATAGATGCTTGAAAGTATATACGTGGTGGAGCCACGCTGCAGCTATTATGGTAGTAGCAAGAATGGTTCGGCTCGACCGGGGTAGGATCACGCTCTCACAGAATACCAGCGTAAAATAGACCCTTAGTACTGCTATGTTTCATATGATGAGTGTAGAGATCCGGAGACCCGTTTTACTGGAAACGAGGCATTCCATATTAGTCTTCAAGGGTGACAAAGCATCTGCATTTTGAAACTTAATCGAGGTTATGTCTGGAGGTGTGTATGGGCCGCAGTATCCACTTCCCATCAGGTGGACTGTGTGCTCGTTTGTCACCCTTATCCTATAAAATAAAGTGATTGTCCTTTTTCGACTATTTTACTCTTGTGTTTCCCAGGACTTTAAGAGGGTTGTAATGTTCCTCACAATACAACTTATTTAGAGTTTTTCATTAAAACATTGAAATGGGGGGCTATTACAACGTTATCCCACATTGATCATTAATATTAAGCACGGTGATTAACTCGAAGAATTATACATGACATTGAACAAACATCCACACACGGTACAATTATTTGTAGGTCGTTTATATTTTTACAAGCGGTATACAAACCTGTGGCGTGCATCATCATCACCATAGCCTGACGTTCAGCAACTGTGCTACTGAGCCGTCAATATCTAAATACAAAACTAAAAACCTTATAACGAACGTCACTTACCAGTTCAACACTGACCGATTAAACTTTAAATCTAATGCAATTCTATTAAGCACTCGCTTAATAGACCAAACTCTGTGATAAACACAGCATATTATAGCTTGCTCGTTTACCTGACTATCTGGGACAAACGTTAAAATTTTCCAAGTTTACTATCTTTATGATTGTCTACATGACTTGACGATTTATGGAAACAAATCGTAGTGATTCTTCACTGTTCGATGCATGCAATGAAAAATAATATCTCTGCAAGATATTGTTCTTATCGAGAATATCAGAAGGAAAACAAGAGTAACCGACATAGAACAGCTGATCAATAAGCTGAAGTGGCAATGGGTCGGCTATATAGCTTAAAGTGTCGACAACCGATTGGAAAGGAAAAAGCGAAACCTCTTTTGGCAAGAGCAGTATTAGGCGACCCCCACTAGATGGAGTGACTACCTGATGATATACGTGTACCCGATGATAGGTAGCCTTTGGGTGCAGGAGGCTCAGAACCGTATTTTGAGGCAAAATATGAGAGAGGCCTTTATTTATCACTGAACTTGTCTTGTGTGTACCAAATTATTGAACAAAATATGTATTTTTTTGATTAAAACTACTTTTACGGATTTTATCGCGTTTAATTTTAATTGGTTTTAAATTCCCGACGTTTCGGGTGCTTTCCAGCACCCATGGTCACGGGGGACTGAGGTGACTGACGTCCTGATGTCAATGTTAAGCCCGGAGTACCTTCAGCTTTTTAATTATTGTTTATGGTCCGATCTATGCAGAGTGAACTTACTCTGTCTTGAAGTCTTGCAGTGGTATGCTTGGGTTTAGTTTTAATTTTATTAATTACAGAGTCCCAAGCAGCCTCCTTCTCTATTGAAATTACGATATTTTATAATTTCAATAGCCTCACATATCATCCTTGGTAGGAATCGATGTTCTTTTGCGAGGATTTGTGGTCTATCAAAACTGATGTAATGGTTGGAGATCCGTAAAAGTAGTTTTAATCAATGTGTAGTGTTCGCGTAAATATAAGAAATCATTATATGTATTTTCTTTTATACAGTGTCCCAAAAGGATTGACTTTCATCTAGTAAGGGCGAGCCAGTCCTCACCACATCTTAAGTATAACCGCTCCAGAGAAAGAGAGACATGTCCGTTGCCTCTTCCGCCGCCGAAGCCTAAACCAAAGGATGACAGTGCGTTTTGGGGCGCGGTGTTCCTGGCGACTGTAGCCGCTGCATTTGCTGTTTATGCTAAGTTGGTTTCTCTCTATAGTAACCATTAACTTAGTGGTGGCAGCGTTGGAGACTTCATCACTCTATTTCATCCCGTGGGTGTTGTTAAGGCGACACCGCGAAAAAATGCACCTCCTTTCATTGAATAGTATACAAATCGTCGGGATTCCGCAACAAAAAATCGATGCAAATGGTATTGCGTTCGTCGGGCCCATAGAGTACTATAATATTATAGTATTCTATGGTCGGGCCTCCTTGCAAAGCATATTTATTTCGCAAAAATACTTCCTTCGGTGGAAGTGGCCTAGGCTTGAGCCGTGACTGGGCTATTACGGGCTTATCCCGCTATGTAGTGTCGGAGTAATGGAAAACACGATCCGATATCTGATGGTTATCGTAAAAAGCGACAGAGAAATAAAACAGGAGAGAGAAAGGAAGCAGCACCTTCCTGTTGACAACTTTAAATAATAAAACACAGCGGTCCTGCCTTCAAAACGTGGCAACTATGGCTAATACACCCATGGTAAACCATGGGGCGATGTTTAACTTGTATTTAAAAGTAAATAAATAATTGCAACGAAATGCTTGTCAATATTATCGTAATATAATAAAATCACGCATTTGTGGAGAAATTAATAAAATTCTATGAGAATATACTTTCATAAGCATAAATAAAAGGTTCTTTTTTTAATACTAGCGTGAAATAGCAGCTTAATACAGAGACTTTTTACTGGTAACGGGCTATTTTATCTCAGTCCTTGACAATGCATTTGGATTTAAATTTTTATTAATCGAGTTATACACGTAAGTGTCTATAGCCACAGCATCCACTTGCCATCAGGTGGCCTGCGTGCTCGTTTATCAATCTTATTCTACCAAAAAATGAAAAAGTACCAGCCTATATACTTCCGTCTCACTCCGGCACACAGGCGTTTTATTTCTGAGAGGGTTTTAGGGCAAGGAAGTGTCCACCGCACTGCCTCAATGCGTGTTGTCAATCTTTGCAAGTTAATAAATTGCCTTATTGGGCGGATATTTATCATAGTTTCATGCTTGACGAGTGGGTTGGCAATTGTTTTTTTGTTACGTTGAGGGGTATATGGGTTATTGAAATCTAATTTTAAATAATTTATTTACACTAAACATATTTAATTAAAAACCAATTGCTGGACACAGGTCTCTTTCACGAACTTATTTTTGAGGCATGGGGCACTACACTCTACTCGTATTATGAAGAATCGGAATGTGTCAAAAAAGGCACGTATGGTAATTCATAATGCTGTGTTAGTCCCTACTTTAATGTTTGGTAGTGAAAGCTGGGTGTGGCAGAAGAAGCACGAAAGTAGAATAAATGCTGTAGAAATGCGGTTTTTAAGGAGTATGCTAGGGGTGAATCTGAATGACAGGGTGAGAAATTGCGTGATAAGAGATAAATGTGATATGCAAGATGATGTTGTGATCAGGATTGATCAGTGAATGCTTCGGTGGTTTGGTCATGTAGAGAAAGAATGAATGAGGACAGAGTGACAACGCAAATTTATATGATTGAGCTATATTAGATGTGAGCGGTAGAGTCGGGAAGGGACGCCCTAGAAGAAAGTTTATCGACCAAAATGGCAATATTTTGAAAATGGGCCACATTAGAAGTACCCCTAAACCGACGAGCGTGTATGCGTAAATATATGGATAGAAAGGAGGCGAAAGAGGTATGTCAGGATCGTGCCAAATGGAAGTCCGTAGTCTCTACCTACCCCTCTGGGTGACAGGCGTGAGTATGTTATGTATAATGTCGTTTTTGAGGAGTTTTTAAAGCAGAAAATTATCTACGGCGTTGCCCCAATAAACGTTGTACAATATTACTTACTATTAATTAAGTAAACAATCATTATTTCTGCTAGACGATCACCAGAAATTCGTGATTGGCTGACAATTTATGCACCGTGGTTCGACGATTTTATAGCCGTGTTATACCAGGAGAACATGACTTATGGGGAGTATGCAGCGCAATGCCTTCAAGATCTGAAAAATTACATTGGTGATGCATTTAGTGATGAAAAGTCTAATACGTGCTTAGTAGAGGACACTGTTAAACCTATTTCAAGTAAGTTCAACACCCCTTTCGTCAGTAGATAAGGAAAAACGTAAAGTTACAATGATATAAATTTATATTTAGATAGTTTCCCACTTAAATTTTTGCACTGACTTAAGATCTTAATAGATGTAATTATATTTAATGATTAATGATTAAAACAGTTTTACCAAGGCAAACTGTATATAGTAAAGTAATTAGTAACTATAGTTTACCATCGGCGATTTTTTCGGACCGATACGACTTCGAGAAAAGAGCTTACTCCTTTCTAAAAGGCCGGCAACGCACCTGCAATTTCCCTTGGCGTTGCAGGTGTTCATGTGCGGCTATAGTCACTTACCATCAGGTGAGCCGCATGCTCTTTTACCCACTCTTCTTTATAAAAAAAGTACATACATATTTACAGTAGTAGAAGAAAACTTATATTGGAACATCTGACTTCTAAGCTTATAATAGTCAGCGCTCTTCACAAAATGTGGAGTCAGCTAAAAAGTCTATGATGGTATACGTTATAATTAGTTGAAAAGAAAAAACATTTTAAAAATATTTATTCATCATTAACTTGTTATGGCCTTCAAAAGTCCACTGCGACACATAGGCCTCCCCACAGCTGAACTAATTTAGGGAATTTTGCCTTATTTTGCTCGTCAGAGGAGTCCGCAGCCAAATTGTTGTCAGGGTAATACTGCTGCCCATCCCCTTTTTCAGTTTCCTATTGCCGCATCTTACAGCACACTCTTAAAACAAAAATCATTTTAAATTTTCTCCAACGTAATCGAGATTTTAATACATGTTAATTCCTTTCTTTTGTCTAGAAATCTTTCTATATAGGTATGTATCATCTTCTTAGTTATTACGTATCAACTTTTGTGGTTTGCCTTAAAGGAGAATAGTACCGTGCAAGGCAAATTATGAATAAAACGTAAGCATTATATAAATTATATAGGTAACCTTATTATTCAATTTTTGTCAGGTGTTTCCGAAAAACCGAAAGAACAACCAAAGGATACCAAAGGTGAGAATAACTTTTCTTCAAGGTGTCATTATAAGAATCTTGTAATATTTGGGGATACATTTTTTGTAAATGAATAACGTACTGTCTAGTAATTAAAAAGAAAACTAAAAAAAATATTTTTTACTTTTAACAGTTAAATAAATCTTTTCAAGTTTTGTATGTTATTATATGTATTAATAAAGAAATATTTGTTCTACTTTTTCTGCTTCTTTTAAGCAATAAAATCGTAATTTTGTGAAGAGTGATCATCCTAAAAGGTCAAGAGGATGTATGTAAATCGTGGAGTGGTAGATGTAGTTTGATTTTTTTTATAAGTAATTTAATTTTATTCAATGCGTTTGGGAATTTTCTGGAAAACGTCTCGTTTTGTGGCCACCATCCGGGGTGAGTGCATATAAGGCATCCGTCCATCTTACCTCTGCTTCTGTGGCACAGTCAAGTCCGAGGTCATTTGTTTTTACAGGTCTCGAAACTTCGCACTTTACTCGTTTGGTCGCACGGCTAATGCGAGCAGCTTAAAGTGACTCTCCACACTTCTTTTACTAGGGGTGGTATGCTCCATGTGTTTGTATATGGCATCCATATTGGTCGGTACTATGATAGAAATAACCATCGCCTCTTTGGAAGGAACTTAGGGGCTGACTTTTGATAAACTGGTACCAGTTCGTTTGTCACCCTAATATTATAAAATAAAATAAAATATTACTATAAGTATCAGTACCTTGTATGTCAAATTTTCTTTAGTCGTCGGAAGCAACAGATGGTAACCAATTGAGAGAGCAAGTCGATATTTGAAATAGGATGAAATTTTTTTTCAGGTGAGGGTGAAGAACCGTGCAAAGTTCTACCTCCGCCTGACTTAACAAATGACATTTGTGATGTGGAGGCTTGTCTGAAAGATCTCTACGAGACTGTTATGAATAATTATCTGACCGCAAAAGTTGCTTGCACTTATTACAATCAGGTATCAAAAAATAGATTGTATTCCATTATGGGCATGGGATCGGTTACTTATCGGCCCCATATTTTTATAAGATTTCTAACAAAAAAATGTGCTCATTTTATTAATTGCCTAATATGTCGCAGAAGGCGACTAATCGGATATTGGGTTTGTTTTTGTAACTAAACGTGGTCTTTGACTCCGCCTATCGTATTGGGTATTACAGCCGTTACGCTTTGGGTATATAGTGTTACGAGGGTGGATTGAAAAGTACTCGGCCTAACACAGATCCATTCAATTCTAAAAATCATTTTTTATTATTTCACATTATTTAGTTCAGTTCAGACTAGTTCATTGTGTGAAGTTCGAAACGTGTGCGATAATTAGTTGTGATTTTATAAATTTATTAACAAAGTAGTCGGACATAATTTCCGCGAATGGTGCAAATCGAGCAGCGTGCCGTCATTAAGTACCTCCATAAGAAGGGGCTATCATCAAAAGCCATCCATGATGACAACATGATCAGTACATTAAGCGATTGCGCTCTGTCATATTCATCCGTCAAAAAATGGATGGCAGAGTTTAAGCGTGGTAGAGAGAGTGTGAAAGATGAACCCCGCTCTGGAAGGCCTTCGACGTCAACTACTGACGAAAATATTAAAAAAGTACTTGATTTAATAATGGGAGACCGCAGATTAAAAATTAGAGAGATAGCCGAGATTATAGGCATCTCTTATGAACGAACTCAAAACATCATTGTCAACGAGTTGGGTTTCCACAAGGTGTCTGCGAGGTGGGTTCCGCGACTGCTTTCAGTTGAACAAAAAAGGACGCGATTGACTATTTCACGCGACAGTTTGGAGTTATTTGAAGCCGATGCAGATGATTTTTTGAATCGTTTTGTTACTATGGACGAAACATGGGTTCATTACTGTACACCGGAAACAAAACAACAATCAAAACAGTGGAGAAGACCTGGTTCACCACCCCCTAAAAAGGCTAAGTCGATTTTGTCGGCAAATAAGGTGATGGCTTCAGTATTCTGGGACTCGAAAGGTGTGATTATGATTGATTATCTTGAAAGGAGTCAGACTATAAACTCTGATTACTACTGCACCTCACTACGTCATTTACGAGAGGAAATAAAAGAAAAACGTCGAGGAATGCTCAGAAGAAAAGTCCTGTTTCATCAAGATAACGCCCGTGTTCACACGTCAGTACAGTCAATGGCTGAAATTCACAACTGTGGCTTTGAACTGTTACCGCATCCGCCGTATTCACCTGATCTGGTACCATCAGACTTCTTTCTATTCCCTAACCTAAAAAAGCACTTGGGAGGTCAAAGATTTTCGACAAACGACAAGGTCAAAGCAGCTGTAGACGCATATTTTGACTCTAAGGAAGAATCATTTTTTTCGACGGTCTAAATGCTTGGAAGGAGAGGTGGCAAAAGTGTATTGAACTTGATGGTGATTATGTAGAAAAATAAAAATATAACTGATTTAGTATGTGTTTATTTTCTTGGTTAGGCCGAGTACTTTTCAATCCACCCTCGTATTTTTCAAAGACTAGAAGAAGAAAAGAAAGTCAAATTTTACATTGAAGTTCATAAAATAAATTATTATATACGGATATTACATTCTTTGAAAAATACGAGTAAATAAGGCTACTACTTTTATTCGTAATTATCACAAATTGAATGTGATTTATGGCCAAAAACTACTCTTAATCCACTTTTTCGTTTCTCAGGTTTTTGCCTACTATTTACTTTTTTAGCAACACGTTTACTAGTTATGCTTAAGATAATAACTACATACTATATATATATATATATATATATATATATATATATATATATATATATATATATATATATATATATATATATATATATATATATATATATATATATATATAAACACTCACGCCTGTCACCCAGAGGGGTAGGCAGAGACTACGGACTTCCATTTGGCACAGAAATCTAAAATTTAGATTTCTGTGATTTAAGTTTATCGCTCACTTCACTTAAATAGTTTGATTCGGTTGGTTGGTTAATTACGACAAGTACGCTAATTTTTCACAGTGGAAAAGACTCACTTTAGTATCTTTGTATGTACCACGTAATTTTATTGCTTAAAATGTTTCACAGTTTCATAGTGTCCGCAGTTCAAATATTTTCGCGAGCAGACATATGTAGGTACTTACGGTGCAACGGTAGGAAGGTGTGGGAAGAGGTTTAGGAAGCGTGCGAAGTAAAATCAGTTAAAATAATGGATTACCACGCATTTTGAATTTAAAAGATAAAAATGACAGAAAGTTTGAGATTTTTTAAATTAATTTTTCCTCACCATTTGTGTATATTACTTATTCTGAACCTTCTCTGCAAATTTGGCAGGTTATTGCAAAATAACCCTATATATATATATGTGGTTGAAGCATATTGATTGGTGCTAGCTAACTCACCACAATGAAGTAAATCCAGTGACACACTTTGTAGTGGGTTAGTTAAGCATGTACGTGAATAGAAGAGAATTTTCTTTAATCGCATCTTCCGCTGTAGGGAGCTGGGTTTGCTTTAATCTTCACGCTTGGTTGGTGCACTGGCGATCGTCCGTCACCATCAGCGGTCTAGATATTTTGAACTTGGAGTAAACAAGATGGTATTCCGTCGTCTATCGAAAGTCGTAAGATTTTTGTGGCATTTCTTACAATTGCCTCTTACGAAACTGGGTGGTGGATTCTCTTACGCTGCTATCGCACATTAACAACCAGAAGATAATATAAAATACGGGTGGTGGATTCTCTTACGCTGCTATCGCACATTAACAACCAGAAGATAATATAAAATACGGGTGGTGGATTCTCTTACGCTGCTATCGCACATTAACAACCAGAAGATAATATAAAATACGGGTGGTGGATTCTCTTACGCTGCTATCGCACGTTAACAACCAGAAGATAATATAAAATACGGGTGGTGGATTCTCTTACGCTGTTATCGCACATTAACAACCAGAAGATAATATAAAATACGGGTGGTGGATTCTCTTACGCGGCTATCGCACATTAACAACCAGAAGATAATATAAAATACGGGTGGTGGATTCTCTTCGCTGCTATCGCACGTTAACAACCAGAAGATAATATAAAATACGGGTGGTGGATTCTCTTACGCTGCTATCGCACATTAACAACCAGAAGATAATATAAAATACGGGTGGTGGATTCTCTTACGCTGCTATCGCACGTTAACAACCAGAAGATAATATAAAATGCGGGTGGTGGATTCTGTTACGCTGCTATCGCACATTAACAACCAGAAGATAATATAAAATACGGGTGGTGGATTCTCTTACGCTGCTATCGCACATTAACAACCAGAAGATAATATAAAATACGGGTGGTGGATTCTCTTACGCTGCTATCGCACATTAACAACCAGAAGATAATATAAAATACGGGTGGTGGATTCTCTTACGCTGCTATCGCACATTAACAACCAGAAGATAATATAAAATACGAGTGGTGGATTCTCTTACGCTGCTATCGCACATTAACAACCAGAAGATAATATAAAATACGGGTGGTGGATTCTCTTACGCTGCTATCGCACGTTAACAACCAGAAGATAATATAAAATACGGGTGGTGGATTCTCTTACGCTGCTGTCGCACATTAACAACCAGAAGATAATATAAAATACGGGTGGTGGATTCTCTTACGCTGCTATCGCACGTTAACAACCAGAAGATAATATAAAATACGGGTGGTGGATTCTCTTACGCTGCTATCGCACGTTAACAACCAGAAGATAATATAAAATACGGGTGGTGGATTCTCTTACGCTGCTATCGCACATTAACAACCAGAAGATAATATAAAATACGGGTGGTGGATTCTCTTACACTGCTATCGCACGTTAACAATCAGAAGATAATATAAAATACGGGTGGTGGATTCTCTTACGCTGCTATCGCACATTAACAACCAGAAGATAATATAAAATACGGGTGGTGGATTCTCTTACGCTGCTATCGCACATTAACAACCAGAAGATAATATAAAATACGGGTGGTGGATTCTCTTACGCTGCTATCGCACATTAACAACCAGAAGATAATATAAAATACGGGTGGTGGATTCTCTTACGCTGCTATCGCACATTAACAACCAGAAGATGATATAAAATACGAGTGGTGGATTCTCTTACGCTGCTATCGCACATTAACAACCAGAAGATAATATAAAATACGGATGGTGGATTCTCTTACGCTGCTATCGCACGTTAACAACCAGAAGATAGTATAAAATACGGGTGGTGGATTCTCTTACGCTGCTATCGCACATTAACAACCAGAAGATAATATAAAATACGGGTGGTGGATTCTCTTACGCTGCTATCGCACATTAACAACCAGAAGATAATATAAAATACGTGTGGTGGATTCTCTTACGCTGCTATCGCACATTAACAACCAGAAGATAATATAAAATACGAGTGGTGGATTCTCTTACGCTGCTATCGCACATTAACAACCAGAAGATAATATAAAATACGGGTGGTGGATTCTCTTACGCTGCTATCGTACATTAACAACCAGAAGATAATATAAAATACGGGTGGTGGATTCTCTTACGCTGCTATCGCACGTTTAAAACCAGAAGATAATATAAAATACTGGTGGTGGATTCTCTTACGCTGCTATCGCACATTAACAACCAGAAGACATACTCTTACTCATATTTTGATCGCAACGGAATTACGACTAATTCACGTAACACCTTACATACATACATAAACTGATGCTTGTCATCCAAACGGGTAGATAGAGACCAGACTCCCATTTGGCACGATCCTGACGATTCTTTCGTACCAATATATCCAAGCATATATGCTCGTCAGTTTCTAATATTTGCTTTAAAAATTTAATGACAGAACATACAGAATTTAGCTAGAAGTGACATCATCATCATCATCATCATTACAGCCCTTCACAAGTCCACTGCTGAACATAGGCCTCCCC